CTTCCTTATCCTTTGTGGTGGATTTTACTTTAAAGTCTTTTCTGTCAGAGATTAATATTACCACTCCTCCTCTTTTTTGAATGTTGTTTGCTTAATATATTCTTTTCCATCCTTTGAGTTTTAGCCTGTTTGTGTCTTTAAGTCTAAGGTGTGTCTCTTGTTGGCAGCATATAGACGGATCATGCTTTTTTTATCCAATCTGCCACTCTCTGTCTCTTTATGGGTGTATGAAGTCCGTTTACATTCAACGTAATTATTGATAGGTATGAGTTTAGCACTGTCATCCTGATGTCTCTTTTTGAGTGTTGTCCACAGTTTCTTTGTCCCCTTTAGTTTTCTGTGCTGAGTCATTTTTCATTATATTTTTTTTATTTTTTTCACTGTTGTTGATTTTGTGTTTGCTTAGTATATTTTTCTACTTCTTTATTTTGATTTGTAGAATTGTTAGATTCCTTTGTGGTTGCCTTAATATTTACTCCTATTTTTTCTAAGTTTATACCAATCTTTTATTTCTTTATATTGCCTTGACATCCCCTCCATATGAAAAAATCTATGTTGGCATTTTTTAAGTCCCTCTTTTTTGTTTTAATGTTGTCCATTTTTACATATTGATATCTCTGTTTCCCTATTTTCAATGGTTTAGGTTTGATGTACTTTTGACTTCTCTATCTGAGTCAATATCTGGTTTCTCTGTCCTGTGTTCTATCCTTGTGTTGTTATCTGATGTTATTGACTATCTAACAAGAGGACTCCCTGTAGTATTTCTTGTAATTTTGGTTTGGTTTTTGCAAATTCCATATACTTCTGTTTTTCTGGAAATGCCCTAATTTCACCATTATATTTGAGAGACGGTTATGCTGGATATATAGTTGTTGGCTGGCAGTTGTTTCCTTCAAGGCTTTATATATGTCATCCTATAACCTTCTTGCCTGCATGGTTTCTGCTGAGTAGTCCAAGCTTATTCTAATTGATTCTCCTTTGTAGATGACTTTTCTTTTATCCCTAACCACTCTTAAAATTCTCTCTTTATCTTTGGCTTTGGTAAGTTTGATTATAATATATCTTGGTGACTTTCTTTTAGAATCTACCTTATGTGGGTTTCAATGAGCATCTTGGATAGATATCTTCTCATCTTTTGTGATATCAAGGAATTTTTCTGTCAACCAATCTTCAACAGTTTTCTCTGTATTTTCTGTTATCCCCCCCTGTTCTGGTACTCCAATCACAAGTAGGTTATTTCTCTTGCTAGAGTCCCAAATAATTCTTAGAGTTTCTTCATTCTTTTTAATTCTTTCATCTGATTTTTCCTCAAATAAGTTGGCTTCAAGTGCTTTATCTTCAATATCACTAATTCTGACTTCTACTGCCTCAGTTCTGCTCCTATGTCTTTTTATTGAGTTGTCTAATTCTGAAATTTTATTGTTAATCTCCTGGATTCCTGATTGCTCTATGGATTCTTGCAGCCTATTAAATTTGCCATTGTGTTCTTAAATAACTTTTTTAAGTTCCACTACTACTTTGTCTGTATGTTCTTTGGAAGTTTCTACATTTTGTAGAATTTCCTTTCTAATTTCTAGAAGAGTTCTGTATATTAATCTTTTGTATTCTGCCTCTGGTAATTTCAAGAAATTCTCTTCCTCCTGAGAATTTATTGATTCTTTATTTTGGAAGCTTGCTGAAACCATCATAGAATGCCTGTTTATGTGATTTGATATTGGCTGTTGTCTCTGAGCCCTCAATAAGTTATTATAATTTTATTTTATATTAGTTTCCTGTTTCATAGCTTTTTGTTTTGTTTTGTTTTGGTATGCCCAAATAAGCTGCTAGTGTGTGCTATTTTGACTATTGGCACCTTTGAAGCTCTAACGTCCTGTCACCAGGTAGTTAGTTCTGTAACTAAGTATGTGTACACAGGAGTTTGTTGAATTTTTCTGTGTTTCCCTCAGGTGTCCAGGCAGTCGGTCACCAAGTGTGTGGTCTAGGCTCTCACCAATAGTCTTAGAGAGGCATGGATGATTGGGGTAGTCACAGGTATCTGGCTGCAGTAGGGGGTCATGTGCTGAGCAAGGCAGGGGGCTGATGGCTGCCCCTGAGTGTCTGAAAAGAAAGCATATCCCAATTCCCTAGAGCGAGTAGGTAGGTGAGTTTTGCAGCCTGACTATGAACCCCCTACTCTGTTGGCTGTAAATACTCCAGGGAACCCCTTATTCTTGGACCACTGTAGCAGGTGACTAGGTGACATAGGTGGAGCCACCAGTCCTCAAGCCCCTGGTGCGGACCCGTAAATGTGCCTGCTTAAAGGCCAGGGCTGTGTGACGAGTCACAAATCTGCCACTTCACAGCTGAAACAGTTGAAGTTAGACTTCAGGTGTTTACCCTGTTCTACTGTGGTAGTGAGGGCTTACGCTGTTGAGATGGGTCCACACAAGTCTATACAGGGATGGAAGGCACTCAAAGTCTGCAGACCCCTTATGCCTGTGCCTAGAGAAGAAGCTGTGCTGACCCTGAGTTCCTGGCTTAGGGGAGCCAGTAGCTTATTTGTTCCCTCTCCAGTGCCAGAAGAATGGGTCAGGGCAACTTTTGGGATCTACTTCAGGCGCAGAAGACTCAGAGACCTTGGAAGTCCAGACCAGTGCAGAACAGGGAGGGAAGAGGCAAAAGGGAGAGAGGATTTTCCCACATGGGCTTTTTTTTAATTTTTAATCCCCATGAAATGCCACAGGCATGTACTTATCTTTAGCCACTTGGGAGCTGCTTTTCACTGGTTCAGAGTGTTCAAGCAGAGTCTGTGCTGCCAGATCTCTCTCGATGTGGAAACTGCCTCCCGAGTGAGCATGCGGAGCCGTTTGCTAGCTTCGCTGCTGACCCAGAGCCCTTTGGGGCTGAAGAGCTGCAGTCCCTCCGCCGCTGGTCTGGCACTCATCGCTTCTTCCAAACCGTCTCCCTCTCCCCCCACCACTCAGTCCAATTCCTCAACTTTTCCTTGTTCAGGGCTCCTAGATTTTCATATACAATCAAGTCACTTGTTTTTCCAGGTCTTTATTGTAAGAGGGAGATAGAAAGCCGTCTGACTACTCAACCATCTTGGTCCCGCCTCTTAGGTTGTGTCTTAAGTCAATTTCTTTTGAGTTATAAAAGACAGAAGCCAGCAGAGAGACATGGGGACGTCCTACCACCAAGAAAGCAGAGCCTGGAGCAGAGCGCGTCCTTTGGACCAAGGGTCCCTGCTTTGAGTCACTCCTAGACCAGGGGAAGATTGATGACAAGGACCTTCCCCAGAGCCGACAAAAATGAGAAAGGCTTTCCCTGGAGCTGGCACCCTGAATTCAGACTTCTAGCCTTCTAGACTCTGAGAGAATAAATTTTTCTTTGTTAAAGCTACCCATTTGTGGTATTTCTGTTATAGCAGCACTAGATGACCAAGACACCACCTCACACCATGGATTAGCAGCACCCTATTTACTACTGGAGGCGGAGTCATCAGTGCCATTAAGACTGGTCAGACTTGAGAACCAGTTTAGAAAACTCATCCTTGAGATTTTGTTTCTCTAGAACCACTCCCGGTACCAAATGTCTTAGGCTGGGTTCTCTAAAGATGCAGCAAAACCAGTGAAGCATGCATCCAAAAAAATCAAACCTGTTGCCATCAAGTCGAACGGCTCCATAGGGTTTCCAAGAAGCAGCTGGTGGATTTGAACTGCCAACCTTTTGGTTAGCAGCCGAGTTCTTAACCACTGTGCCACTGTGCCACCAGGGCTTTGTGTGTGTGTGAGAGAGATTTATCTCAAGGACACAACTCACTTGGCTATAAAGGCTGGCAAGTCACAAGTCTGTGGGTCAGGAGTCAGACTGTAGGTGTCTCCTGACTCACACAGCTGCAGGGGTTGACAAACCCAAGATTTGCAGGTCAGATGGCAGGCCGCTGGCTCATGAGCTGCAGAGGCTGATGAATCCAAGATTGGTAGAGAAGATGTCAGGCTGCTGGTTCACAAGCTACAGAGACTGATGAATCCCAAGATTGGCAGGTAAGACAGCAGGCCACTGGTTCACAGGCTGCAGAGGATGCTGAATCCCAAGATCAGCAGACATTACGGTAGGCCACTGGCTCAAGGTTCAAGAACCAGAGGTCAGATGATGAGGAGCAGATGCAGGAACTAGAGCAAGCAAACGAGGTTTGCCAGAATGTCCATATATATATATATAGGATTCAGGCCACACCCCTGAGGAAATTCTCTTACAACCGATTGGCTGATCACTTCAGAATACATCATGGAGAATGACTACATCATTACATAACTGCAAAATTCCATCATAATTGCCAAACTATGTCATTACATAACTGCCAAACTACATCATTATATAAGTGCCAACCCACTGAGTATCATGGTCCAGCCAAGTTGATACACAACCTTAACCATCACACCTGCTAACCACCAATGAATGCTGGTCTTTGTATATGTACCTATTATTGTCTTCTTATAAAAGTGAGATCATACAATATTTGTATTTTTGTGATTGACTTATTTCACTCAGCATAATGTCCTCCAGATTCATCCACATTATAACATGTTTTGAGAACTCATCATTATTCTTTTTGGCTGTGTAATATTCCATTGTATGTATGTACCACATTTTATTTATCCATTCCTCCATTGATGGGCACTTAGATTGTTTCCATCTTTTTGTTATTGTGAATAGTGCTGCAGTGAACATAGGTGTGTGTATGTCTGTTCATGTCTCTTCTATTAGATCTCTAATGTATATATCTAGAAGTGGGATTACTGGATCATGAGGTAAGTTCTATTTTTATTTTTTGAGGAAGTGTCATACTGTTTTCCATAGTAGTTGCACCATTTTACAATCCAACCAGCAGAGGATAAGGTTTCCAAACTTCTCACATCCTCGTCAGCATTTTTTGTTTTCAGTTTTTTTATCAGTGCCATTTTAGCAGGGGTGAGATGTTATCTTAGTGCAGTTTTGATTTGCATCTCTCTAATGCCTTGCTGCAGAAGCACATATACTAAAATTGGAATGACACTGAGAAGATTAGCATGGCCCTTGAGCAAGGTTGACATGCAGATTAGTGAAGCATTTCTTTCTTTTTTTTTTTTTTTTTGAGGCTTGGTGGTACAGTGGTTAAGAGTTCATTTGCTAACCAAAGTGCCAGCAGTTCGAATCCATCATTTGCTCCTTGGAAACCCTAAGGGGCAGTTCTACTCTGTCTTATAGGGTAACTATGAGTCTGAATTTACTTGAGAACAACAGATTTAATGGCGAACGCTTTTATGTCTTTGTTGGCTGTTCATGTCCTTTTTCCCATTTTTTAATTGAGTTGCTTGTCTTTTTCTTGTTGAGTTGTTGAACTTTTCTATATATTTTAGAGATTAGACCCTTATCAAATGTGTCATTCCTGAAGATTTTTTCCAAGCCTGTAGGTTGTTTTTATGCTGTTTTGATGAAAAAAGTATTTAATTTTTATGAGGTCCCAGTTATCTAATTTGTCTTCTTCTGTTTCTGCATTTATAGTTGTGTTTGATAATATATTTTTTTAAAAGTAGGTCCCATAGTTTTTTCCCTGTTTTCTTCTAAAAACTTTATAATTTTGGCTTTAACAATTAGATCTTTGATCCATTTTGAGTTAGTTTTTATTTATGGTGTAAAGTATGGCTTCTGTTTCAGTCTTCTGCAAGTGGATATCCCATTTTCCCAGCACCATTTATTTATTTAATTGTACTTTACATGAATGTTTACGGAAAAAACTAACTTCTCATTAATTAACTTCTCATATTGTTTTATGACACTGGTTAACAACCCCATGACAAGTCCACACATTCCCTTCTGACCTTGGGTTCCCTACTACCAGCTTCCCTGTCCCCTCCTGCCTGCTAGTCTTTGCTCCTGGGCTGGGATGCCCCTTTGGTCTTGTTTTGTCCTATGGGCCTGTCTAATCTTGGGCTACAGTGTGAACCTCAGGACTGACTTCATTACTGAACTAAAAGTGTGTCCAGGGGCCATTCTCTCAGGGTTTCTCCAGTCTCTGTCAGGCCAATAAGTCTGGTCTTTTTTTATGAATTAGAATTTTGTTCTACATTTTTCTCCAGCTCTGCCTGAGACCCTCTATTGTGATCCCTATCAGAGCAGCCAGTGATGGCAGCCATGCACCATCTAGTTGTACTGGACTCAGTCTGGCAGAGGCCGTGGTAGTTGTGGTCCATTAGTCCTTTGGACTAATCTTTCCCTTGTGTTATTAGTTTTCTTCATTCTGCCTTGCTCCCAAAGGGCTGAGACCATTGGAGTATCTTAGATGGCCACTCATAGGCTTTTAAGACCCCAGACGCTACTCAGCAAAGTAGAATGTAGAATATTTTCTTTATAAACTATGTTATGCTAATTGAGCTAGATGTTCTCTGAGACCATGGTCCCCACAGGTCTCAGCCCAGTCTTTTGGTCCCTCAGGGAGTTTGGATGTGTCTATGGAGCTTCCATGACCTTGCCTTGTACAAGTTGGCCAGCACTATTTATTAAAGAAACTGTTTTTTCTCCATTGAATGGACTTTGGCCCCTTGTCCATAGATGGATGGATTTATTTCTGGGTTCTCAATTCTATTCCACTGGTCTGTGTATCTATCATTGAACTTGTTACCAGGCCATTTTGATTACTGTAACTGTATAGTAGCATGTTTTGATATCAAGGACTATGAGGCCTCCTACTTTTTTGTTCTTTTTCAGTGTTGCTTTGGCTATTTGGGACCTCTTTCCTTTACATATAAAATTGATGATTCATTTTTCCATTTCAGTAAAGAATGTTGTTGGAATTTGTATCAGGGTTTCATTGTATCTATACATCACTTTGGGTAGTATTGACATTTTCACAATTTTAAATCTTTCAATGCTTGAGCACAGAATAGCCTTCCATTTATGTAGGTCTCTTTCAATACCTTATATTAGAGTTTTATACTTTTCATTGTATAAGTCTTTGACATTCCTGATTAGGTTTACTATTATGTATTTTATCATTTTGGGGGGCTATAGTAAATGGAATTGTTTTCTTGATTTCTCTTTTGGAATATTTCTTTTAGTGTAAAGGAACCAAACTGCATTTTGTGTGTTGAACTTATACCTGAAACATTATTGAATACTTCTACTGGGTCTTGTGGAATTTTTGGGATTTTCTATGCATATGATGATGTCATCTGCAAATAAACTAAAACCAAACCCATCGCCTACAAGTCGATTCAGACTCACAGAGACACTATAGGACACAGTAGAACTGCCCCATAGGGTTTCCAAGGCAGTAAATCTTTACAGAAGCAGACTGCCACATCTTTCTCCCACATCTGCAAATTTGGATAATTTCATTTCTCCCTTTCTGATTTGGATACACTTTATTTCTCTTTCTTGCCTTATTAGTCTGGATAGGACTTCCAGTACAATATTGAAAAAGAGTGGTGATAATGTGCATCCTTGTCTCATTCCAGTTCTCAAGGAGAAGGCTGTCAGTCTTTCTCCATTGAGAATAATGTTGGCTGTTGGTTTTGCATATACTCCCTTAACTATGTTGAGGAATTTTCCTTCTATTCCTATTTTGCTGAGAGTTTTTATCAGGAAAGTATGTTGGATTGTATCAAATGCCTTTTCAGCATCAATTGAGATGATCATGTGATTATTTTCCTTTTTTTTTCTTCTTTGGATGTTGTGAATTACATTGAGTGATTTTCTAATGTTGACCCACACTTGCATTCCTGGTATGAATCCTACTTGATTATGATGTATGATTTTCTTAATATGTTGTTGAATTCTGTTCACTAGAATTTTGTTGAGAATTTTTGCATTTGTTTTGATGAGGGATGTTGTTGTTTTAAAGTGTCGTCGAGTCGGTTTCGACTTATAGTCGAACGAAACATTGCCCAGTCCTGTGCCATCCTCACAATTGTTGTTATGCTTGAACCAGTTGTTGAAGCCACCGTGTCAATCCATCTCATTGATGGTCTTCTTCTTTTTTGCTGACCCTGTACCAAGCATGATGTCCTTCTCCTGATAACATGTTTAAAGTATGTGAGAGAAGGTCTTGCCATCCTTGCTTCTAAGGAGCATTCTGGCTGTACTTCTTCCAAGACAGATATGTTCGTTCTTCTGGAAGTCCATGGTATGTATATTCAATATTCTTAGCCAATGTCATAACTGAAAAGTGTCAATTCTTCTTCGGTCTTCCTTATTCATTGTCCAGCTTTCATATGCATAAGAGGCTATTAAAAATACTACGGCTTAGGTCAGGTTCACCTTAGCTCTCAAAGTGACATCTTTGCTTTTTAACACTTTAAAGAGGTCTTTTGCAGCAGATTTTCACAATGCAATAAGTTGTTTGATTTCCCAACTGCTGCTTCCATTGACATTGATTGTGGATCCAAGTAAAATGAAATCGTTAACAACTTCAATCTTTTTTCTGTTTATCATGATGTTGCTTATTGGTCCGGTTGCGAGGATTTTTGTTTTCTTTGTTATAGTGTAATCCATACTGAAGGCTGTGATCTTTGATCTTCATCAGTAAGTGCTTCAAGTACTTTTCACTTTCAGCAAGCAAGGTTGTGTCATCTGCATATTGCAGGTGATTAATGAGTCTGATGCTACATTCTTCATACAGTCCAGCTTCTTCGAAGATGTTTTATACGATTTTAATCTTTTAAAATTTATTAAGGTTTGTTTTGTGCCCTAAAACATTGTCTATTCTGGAGAATCATCTCTGTGCATTGTAGAAGAATGTATATTTTGCTGCTGTTGGATGGTGTGTTCTCTATGTCTGTTAGGTCCAGTTGGTTAATAGTGTTATTCAGCTGTTCTCTATATTTACTGATTTTCTTTCCAGTTACTCTATTTATTGTTGAAAGTGGTATATTGAAACCTACTGTTATTGTAGACCTGTCTATTTCTTTCTCTAATTTTTTTAGAGTTTGCTTTATAAATTTTGATTCTCTGGGCTTGGGTGCATAAATATTTACAATTTTTATGTCTTCTTGGTGAATTGTCCCTTTTATCACTATGTAATGCTCTTCTTTTTCTCTTATAATAGATTTTTACTTAAAGTCTCCTTTTTAAGATATTAATATTGCCTCTCCTGCTGTCTTTTGGTTACTGTTTGCTTGATATGTATATATTTTTTCATCCATTGATTTTTAACCTATTTTTGGCTTTGTGTCTAAGGTGTTTCTCTTGTTGACAACATACTGATGGGATACATTTTTTTTGTTCTATATTCTACCACTCTCTGTATCTTGACTGGTGCCTTTAATTCATTGACATTCAGTGTGATTATTAGTAGTGAGGACATTACTTCAGCCATTTTGTTGTGCATTTTTTTGTGGTGTTAATCGTTCCTTTGTTCTTCTTTACTTTCTGTGCTGAGTTCATTTTGTATATGGGTTTTTTTAAATTTTGTTTATTATTGTTGTTTTGTGTTCACTGAATCTTTTTTGTTTTTCTTCTTATATAGTGTGATGAGTAGATTTATTAATTTTCTTAGTGGTTACCATGGGGTTTGCTTGACATCCTATATCCATGATCTTTGAGAGAGCTTATCCCACTGACTTAAATGTGTTAGTGTCCTTGTCTATCTTCCCTAATAGATGTGATCAATTGAAAATCATGAAACCATGCTTTCTTCAATGTTGTAGTCACTGGTGCCTGGGATGATGCCTAGAACAAAATGTTGAGACACTCCACAAATGTTGAGTGAATATAGCCAAGAATGAATGAATCTGTGTATGAATCTAGGAAAATTAAAGTTGAAAGTATTTGTTACAGTGGTCATTTGATTTGAGAATTTCATTATGCAAAACTCAATCTTCATTTATAGAAATATACACATCTCTTATATCAAATTGCCTTGGAATAACTGGAAAAAATGTTTTCTCTCTCAATGAGAGAACTGTGATTTTGTCTTCAGGGTGACACTAAAAACTTGGGCTTGAATAGGCTACAGGATGCCTGTGTAGTCTCAAGAGTTCAAGACCTATCAAGTCTTTTTTGTATCCCTTGGTTGTATTTAGAAGATAGATATCTGTTTCTATGAACTCGTGCAGTTTTAATCTCTCACTTGTATGATTAGG